TTGTCGTGGTAATTTCTGCAGGACTACTTGTAGAACTTCAGGGTATGTGAGAGACCATGAATCAATTAAAAGTAATAATAAGAGCAATAATGAAAAGTAAAGGTCTGATATGGGCCTCTGAGTGAAAGAAATTTACCAAATGCATACAGATTGGTTGTTTTGTCTATCTGCAGATTATACCCTTGTCTTTAACAAGTGGAATTATCAGCACTCTTTTAAAACCAGAAAGAGGAAATGGGTTTCTGTGAAGTTTTGAACAAACATCAGTAAATTGGCTAAATAATTACCATAATTACCATGCTGTGTCCTAACCACAAAGAGCATTCTCCCAATCTCACATCCAAGGACTCACTGATAAAGGCACCTTTCTTTATCTGGGCTGCCTTCTTCCAACCCTACAAAGATATGGGTGCCCCTACAGCTCTGATGATCACCAAGCTGTCTCCTCCAAGAGCACCATGCCTCCAAGGGAATTCTCAAAATAACGTTTACAGAAGCTTCACGCAAGTTTTATCTATATGATCGTGATTTCATTGTTTTGCTCTAGCCAAGATTTCTTTTTCCAGCTGTAAATTTTGTTTTTCCTTTAAAATTTCCAAGGCATATTGCTTCATAAAAGTATGTTGCTCTTTCATGTTTTTTTAAAAAAAGCATTCAACAAACTAGGAATGGGAGGAAACTTCAACCTGACAAAGGGTATGTGCGCAAAGCCCACTACAAACATCCTGTGCAGAGGGAGAGCCTGGATCCTCTCCCCAAGACCAGCAAAGAGACCAGCATTCCCACCCCTGCCACTTTCCCTCAAGGGTACACTGATGTTCCAGCAAGTAAATAAGGAAAAAAAGAAAGAAAAGACATCCAGACTGAACGGGAAGAGGTAAAACATCTCTCCCCACAGATGACATGATCTTGTATGCAGAAAGTGCTGAAGACACACACGTGCACACATGCACACAAAACTGTTAGAGGTGATATATTTGGTAAAGTTGTAGGATATGAGATCAAGACACAAAAACCTGAATTTCCATATTTAGGAAACATTTGCCTGTTCTGAGGTCAGAGGATTCACATTATTTCCACACACCAGCAATGAGCATTCCAAAAAGAAACCAAAAGAAGAAAGTAATTCCACTTGTAACAGTATGAAAATGAATACAATACTTTGAAATAAACCTTTTTTTAAGTGTAAAATTAACAGTAAAAGCTACAAAATATTGTTGAAAGAAATCAAAGATGACTTAAACAGAAAGTTGTTCTAAATTCATGAACTGGACAAGTGAATATTGTTACGAGGGCAACCACCCCCACAGTGTTCTGTACATTCAGTGCAATTTGTATCAAAATCCAATTGCCTTGGGGCGCCTGGGTGGCTCAGATGGTTAAGCATCTGCCTTCGGCTCAGGTCATGATCCCAGGGTCCTGGAATCGAGCCTCACATCCGGCTCCCTGCTCAGCGGGAAGCCTGCTTCTCCCTCTCCCTCTGCTGCTCCCCCTGCTCGTGCTCTCTCTCTCTCTCTGTCAAATAAATAAATAAAATCTTAAAAAAAAAATCCAATTGTCTTTTTTTTCCCCCGGAAGTGGATAAGCTGATCCTAAGATTCATGTGGAATTGCAAGGGACCCTGATAGCTAAAACAGGCTTGAAAAATAACAAACTTGGAAGACTCTTACTTCCTGATTTCCAAACTTACTATCAAGCTATAATTAAAACAGTGTGGTCCTGGCACAGGACAGACATACAGAAAAATGGACTAAACTGAAAGCCTGGAAATAAATCCAAACATCTAGAGCCCATTGATTTCTGACAAGGGTGCTAAGGCCGTTCAGTGGGAAAAGCAATCTGCTCCATGGATGGTGTGGGGACAAGGACACCCAGGAGAAGGACTGGATCTGGACCCCTGCCTCACACCATATACAATCACTAACCCGGAAGGCATCGATGACTTCAACATCAGAGGTAAAACTAAAACTCCCACAAAACCTAGATGTAAAATTTGGGACCTCAGATTTGACGATGGTTTCTTAGATGTAACACCGAAACCACAGGTGACAGAAGAAAAAAATAGATGTGAGACCCAATCAAACCTGAAATCTTTTGTGCTTCCAAGGACACATCAAGGAAGTGGAAAGACAACCCACGGTACAGAAGAAAGCATCTGCAGGTCACACATCTGGTAAGGGTCTAGTATCCAGAGCATAACCATAATTCTCACAACTCAACAACAAAAGACAAACAGTCCAACTTACAAGGACTCATACAGACATTTTTCTGGATGCACAGACGGCCAACAAATGCATGAGAAGATGCTCCCCGTGCACGGTCATCAAGAAAATGAAAATTAGAACTACAGTGAGATACAGCCTCACACCCACTAGGACAGCCGCCATCAAGAAAACAGAAAATAGCAGATGTGGGAAGGGTGGGGGAGATTGGAGCCCTTGCGCCCCTGCTGGGGGTGTCACATGGGGTGGCCGCCAGGGACAACACTGTGGCCGTCCCTCAGAACTACCATGGGACCAGCAAGCACACACCCAGGTGCACATCCAGGACAAGTGAAAACACATGTCCACACACACACTTGCTCATGGATGTTCACGGCAGCATCACTGATAACAGCCCAGAAGCAGAAACCACCCAAATGGCCATCCATTGAGCAATGAATAGACACAGCATGCTCTACGCATCCAACAGAGTGGTCTTCAGTGGTCGAGAGGAATGGAGTGTAGACGCTACAACGTGGACGGACCCAAACACATGGTGCCGCGTGGCCACGGGGCGTAGGAGTCCACGTACATGGAATGTGCAGAAGAGAAAAACCCACAGAACAGACGGTAGGGATGGGGAATGGGAGTGCCTGCTAATGGGCATGGGGTTTGTTTCTGGAGTGATAACCATGTTCTGGAGTTGGTGGTGGTGTTTGCATGGCTTTTGTAAATATACTAAAAATCACTGGATGCTTTGAAATGGCTGAAACAGTAAACTTGAGGTTAAGTGAATTTTATCTTTTTTTTTATGTTGGTAATGATTTATTTTTTAATTATTTTTTCTTTTTTATTGTTATGTTAATCCCCATACATTACATCATTAGTTTTAGATGTAGTGTTCCATGATTCATTGTTTGCATATGACACCCAGTGCTCCATACAGAATGTGCTCTCCTCAATACCCATCACCAGGCTAACCCATCCTCCCACCTCCCTCCCCTCTATAACCCTCAGTTTGTTTTTCAGAGTCCATCGTCTCTCATGGTTCGTCTCCCCCTCCGATTTCCCCCCCTTCATTCTTCCCCTCCTGCTAGCTTCTTTTTTTTTTCTTAAGATATATTGCATTATTTGTCTCAGAGGTACAGAACTGAGATTCAACAGTCTTGCACAATTCACAGCGCTTACCAGAGCACATACCCTCCCCAGTGTCTATCACCCAGTCACCCCGTCCCTCCCACCCCACCCCCCACTCCAGCAACCCTCACTTTGTTTCCTGAGATTAAGAATTCCTCATATCAGTGAGGTCATATGATACATGTCTTTCTCTGAGTGACTTATTTCGCTCAGCATAACACCCTCCAGTTCCATCCACATCGTTGCAAATGGCAAGATCTCATTCCTTTTGATGGCTGCATAATATTCCATTGTATATATATACCACATCTTCTTTATCCATAAGTGAATTTTATCTTAAAAAAAAAAATCAGGGCCACCTGGGGGGCTCAGTTGGTTAAGCATCTGACTCTTGATTTCGGCTCAGGTCTGATGTCAGGGTCCTGGGCTCGAGCCCGCCTCGGGCTCCGCACTCGCGGGGGGTCTGTGCCTCTGCTGCCCTCCCACAGCCAGGCCCGCAGACAGCGCTCCTGGCGCTGAGGATGAAACGTGCGGGGAGGCCCACTGAGACCCTCCCTCGGACGCGTACCATGCACCCCCTTGGCAGAGCAGAACAGCTCCAGGGCCTTGCGAACCAGTGGCTTCCGCATCATAAACACATTCCAAACCGAACTTAGCGATGGTATTTTCACGCTTAATTAACACCTCCAGGCCCGACAACGGTATTTACAGGTGCCTGCTGACACGAAGTGACCGAGCACAAACTCTGGTGCGAAGACGTGGCCTAGAGGATCAGGGGCCACTTCAGAGGGCGTGAGTCATGTGTAGGAACGGACTGGACTCAGCCCCTGAAGCTGAAGCCCGCCCCATGCTGACGGCAAACGCTCGCCCCCGTGTGTGTGCGGCTGCTCGTGGGCCACCGCTGCGCACGGACACGAGCCGCCCCAACTCACAGGGCCGAGACTCACCATGCTCAGGCTTGCCCACGCAGACCTGGCCTCGGGGCAGCAAGCAGAGCGGTGGGACTCCTGGGCCTGTCTGCTGAGATCAAGCCAGGGCACGTCATCGGATGAGCGCGTCCAGGGAGCTAACCTGTCTCTCCGCCACGGTCACTCTGCGGGGCCAGCACCCAGGAACAGTCACGTGGGAACAGAGGCCAGTGCGGGCTCATGCCAGAGGACACAGAACCAAGGAGGGGGGCTCACAGCACAAACTCACGTGTCCAGCCCGGCATGGCGTCCCCCCGCGTTTCCCGTGCAGCGGCCCCGCACTGGTGGGACACCCCCTGCTGCTGGGGGGCTAATGATGCTCTGCTGCAGACCACCCCACTGCTTGAGGAGCTCACGCAGACCTCTGCCAAGGACCAGTGGATGAGGGAGGAAAGCAGGGGAGCCGTCAGGAGCCCGAGCCGCGTGGACACAAGCGAAGCAGGGCCTGGGACGGAGTGGCAGTGGCAGAGGACAAGGCCGGCGGGGTCAGCGGTCATCTCCAGGACCTGAGAAGGGCTTGCGCGTGAACTCAAGCACCCAGCAAAGTCCTGAGCTGGCCTCTGATGAAGGCGCCACCAGCAGCAGCTTCTCTCCCCAAGCGCGCTGGCCAGGGACCCCGGAGCTCAGCACCCCCAGCAGCCAGGCAGACAGGACAGACGTCAGGAAACCGTCAGCGACCCCCCAAGCCCCTCACCTGTCAGCGTGGGGACCTCCTCAGCGGTCACTCTTCCGGCTGCTCTGTCGGAAGCCGGTGTCACGGGTGCGCTCTTTTCTTGGCCACAGGGAACACTAGGGAAAAGCCTCCTCAGCACTTTTTCCACAAACGCTACAACCAATTCACAAAGAAAAAAGAAGGAGGAATTATTCACAGCAGTTTAAATCACAAACGGATTTTATGTAAAATACACAGCCTGACACCACCACCTGAGAGAAAAGGAAATGTGTGTGAGGACCCCCAGCACTGTCCTGAGGACTCCCCAGCACCATCCCCTGGGACCCCCCAGCACTGTCCGTCAGAGACCCCCTAGCACTATCCCCCCAAGGACCCCCAGCACCATCCCCTAGGACCCCCCAGCACTGTCCATCAGACACCCCCCAGCACTATCCCCCCAAGGACTCCCCAGCACTGTCTATAAGAAGACCCTCAGGACTGTCCCCCAGAGGACACCCAGCATTATCCATCAGAGGACCCCCAGCACTGTCCCCCAAGTACCCCAGGACCATCCATCAGAGGACCCCTAGGACCGTCCATTAGAGGACCCCAGGAATGTCCATCAGAGGACCCCTCCCAGGACTGTCCATGAGAAGACCCCCAGGCCATCTATCAGAGGATCCCCCGAGCACTGTCCCCAAAGGACCCCCAGGACCATCCATCAGAAGACCCCCCAGTAGTCCCCCCAGGACCATCCATCAGAGGACCCCCCAAAACTCACCCCTAAGGACCCCCAGGACTATCCTTCAAGGGCCCCTGCACTTTCCATCAGGGGACCCCCAGCTTGGTCCATCAGATGACCCCCTCCCCACAGGACCGGCAGCCTGGGATGCCCGTAGGTGTGGACACCGGGGACAGGAGCCAGGCTGGGAAGAGAGGGCCGCAGGCCTGGGTAGTGGTATGAACTCAGGTGTTTACTTTTGGGTTTGTAAATGGTCTTCCTTCCCTCCAATGTTCTTATCTCTCTGAGTTTCTGTGTAAAGTACAGACTATGAACCAGTTTCTGAATTTGGGGTTCAGGCGCTGGGTACGAAGTGTCCCCCTACAGGGCCGGTCCACGTGCAGGTCACACAGCCGACCCCGGGGCCGGTGTGCAGTGGGGCACACAGAGCAGGGCCCGGGGGCTGGCAGCACGGGCCGTTCCCTCCAGCACACCTGTATGAGCTCAGCGCTGCAGTTAGGGACCGAACCCCGCTCTAACACGCGCGTGTGTGGGTTAGCTGGCATTCTGCTTCAACTGGAAGAAAGCTGTCATAATGAGTAAATATTTCTGTCCTGATGGAAGTGTGGATAAGGAACAGGCAAGAATCTCAAAACAGCATCCTGGAAAAGGTGAGGGGAAAGGTTAATAAAACGAATTTGTAGATTTAGAAAGAACTCAACAGAACGGGAGAGCGCTGCTCTGGGGTGGCAGGCAGCCAAGCGGCAGAAACCAGACCGCTGGGAGCCAGCACGTGGGGCTCCCAGATTCTTGGGGGCGGTGCCGTCCTGCCACAGCTGGGGCATGGGGACCCTCGGCCTCCTGGTTTCATCACATTGTCGGGCAGCATCCCCACTAGGAATAGCTCCCACGGCCCCGTTCTAGTTGGGAATTCGGGTTTCAAAATTCCACAGGGCTCCCGCCACAGTAATGACTCCTCAGAGAACCCACTGGAACGCAGCTGGTGGCTCCCAGGGAGGAGGGTGGCCCCCTTCCACGGCAGGGGGCTCCTCTGCCTGAAGGAAGGCGGCCCGTGCTAACGACGTTAGCATTTAGGACCACAGGTCCTAGCAATAAAAGATTCCCCACGCACTTGTATCTGGTTGAATGTTCTACAAAATCGTCGTTAGCATGGAACCCGGCACAAAGTGTGTTTCCAACACAACCTGCTGAGGAGGCATGTTCCCACAGCCTCCTGCGGAACGGGTTCCCGGCATGTGCCCGGGAGCCTCACCCCACCGGAACTGTGGGGAAAAACAGCCTGTTTCGCACAGCGTTTACAAGAAATGTTTGGTGGTATCACTGATAAATGGAAGCGAAGTTTCCAGAGTTTCGGCTAGAAACAACAGTTGTGGGTGACTCCTTACGTGGCAGAGAGGAATGTTCCACTCTGCCCCTGCTGGGTAGGACACCGGGTTAAGGTGAGCTGAGCCCCAGCATTTCCCACCTCGAAATGGGCAGAAATGCCCCTCTGGCCTTAGACGTGGCTGCACCCTCCCACATCACCTCTTCCTCACACACTTCCGACCACCGCTCACAGGGGACCCTCCTGCAGCACGCCCGAGTCCCAGAGCCTTTTCCCACAACAGACACCCGTCCTGGTATTTCACACACACAGCACTAAAAGAGTTCATAGTTGATTGAAACAGAAACAGCCAGCTATTTGAGGCCTAAAAACATGGTTTAGAGCCACTTAAACTCTCACTGCTACTCGGAGCCCACAGTTATGAATAAAACATGTACCCTATGAACTGCTTGATGGTTTCCTACAAATATGGACTGAATTCTATAATCAAGGCATGTTTTCCAACTGGTCAAATCTACTTAGTGATGCATGTGAAAAGCAGAACATAAAAGAAAGTACCAGTAGTTTTTCAGGATACCGGTACATAGTAAAGCATCATTTTTAAAAAGCACCTGTCACTTCTGGTTTGCTGAAATGCACCTTTTGACCTTGTGTGTGTGTGTGCGTTTCCTCACTACAAACATTAAATCTTCCTCAATGCCGTTACTGGCTTTACAATCTAACAGTTGAGTATAGGAAAGGGAGAGTATGTCCCATGTTTAACAAGGCGTAGTGTCACATTGCCAGGACGGCTTTCCTGTGTTCCGAGCTGTTAGAGCGGAGGCCCGGGCCGCTGTGCGGCGTGCAGCGAGCATCTGCGGGGGAAGCAGGGGAGCGAGCTCCCACACTGGCCGGCCGGGCCAGCTCCCGATTGGGGCAAACTGGCTGCATGTTCCATTCGAAAAGGCTCTTCTGAGAGAAGAAATGGAAATAGGAACTTTTTCTTGTGTAATATCCCATTCTGAAAAAAGCAAAAGAAGATTAAAAATATGTGGTACAGAAAAAGCATCCCGTCAGTATCAGGAATGGTTTTCTCTTAAAAAAGTTCAGTCTGATCACAAAGTAATATATATTCGCCTCAAGATCTGTGTACATAGTATACTTCACTTAAAATGGGGGTAGAGCTATGCACCTACTTCTACTAAATACACACTGTACATTTGGAGAGCTTGTAATGGGTGAGAGTAGAAATGTTTACTCATTTGTGATTCCCTAGGCAAGTATGTCAAAACCTCTGTTATCATCCCTACAAAGCACTGTCTTTGGAAAAGGAGGACTCGGAGAGGACAAATAAAACGTGTGTGAGCTCATCTGGGGACATGAGGAAGGAAATCAGTTCCAAGGCCGTATCTTAAAGGGTGGATGTTACTGGGAAGGAGTAAAACCAACTGGATCCCACACTCCCTGAAATTACACAAAAATAGATGGGACCTCACAATAGTGACACATAACTTTAAAAATTTTGAGAGGAAAACACAGAACAAATAGGTTTATGACACACCTTTATGTAGTTTCCAGTGAACAGATGTGTAAGTGGAAAGCTGATTATCTAGACTTGAGAGTTGCCGGGCTTTTTGAAACCAGACTTAAATGAAAACTGCTACCGAAAACAAGACTAGAAAAGGACATTACTAGAAGCTTAGTGGCTAAGCGATCGCACCCCCTCCTCACCGAAGCCTGAGCAAGGCACGCAGGCAACAGATACGCACGCACCCAAGAACGGAGAACCCCCCCACCTCAGCAAATCCTGGGTCGCGTCACCCCTGTTTCCATCCTGACTTGGGTGTACCAGGTTTCAACAGACACTTTAAGTTAAAATTTCTCAGGGTTACTGTATTCTTGGAATCGGATATTTTGAGTTCTGTCTTTTCAGGAAAGACCATGTTTAAACACCTGCCAGCCTATCTATAGCTTTCTTAACAATATTCAGTATTTTATTTCTTCCATTTTATCCCAATAACGAGGCAAGGTATTCAGCCATCGTCTATAATCTAGGAATAAACTGATAATAGCACTCTATCACTTTGCAAGAAAGGAAAGTTCAGGATAATATGCTAATTTAATGAATGATAGTTTCTTAATTAGCTTCATAATAGAATCATAAATGAAAGAATAATTAGCTAAGATTTAAGCAAGAGGGCGCCTGGGTGGCTCAGTTGGTTAAGCAACTGCCTTCGGCTTAGGTCATGATCCTGGAGTCCCGGGATCGAGTCCCGCATCAGGCTCCCTGCTCGGCAGGGAGTCTGCTTCTCCCTCTGACCCTCCCCCCTCTCATGTGCTCTCTCTCTCTCATTCTCGCTCTCTCAAATAAATAAATAAAATCTTAAAAAAAAAATATTTAAGCAAGAGTTGGCAAGCTTTCTAAGTTTTAATTAAGAGGGAAACAGTGCTCAAAATAAAGCCAGAAATGGTGCCCTGAGGGGACATGATCAGAACGTACGCCATGACCAGTCTGATGTGCTCTCCCGTCTAAGGGTACATGGACCCTGAATATTCATTTTCTCCCAAAACTTTGACACTTTAGAAAATTCCAAACTTTGTCCTCATTTTTCCCTTGCAGAGTGTCTAACGTGACTTACTGTGTCAGCCGCCAGAAAAGCCGTCCCAGCCACAACCGTTCCCACCAGGGGACACAGCAGGGATGCAGGGCCAGGTGGCTCCGGAGCTCCTGGCCTCACCGAACACGCTGAGGGACCAGCGCTCGGCCTTCAGAAACTTGCTTTACTATCCTGGGGACATACAGGGTAACCTATCATGTCTACTCCAAGACTTCCATTTTTCCCAGTTTCATGAACGCTGGCTTTTTCATCCACCAGATCTTGAATTCCACCCAAGGCACGCAAGGCGAGACTGGCAGCCGGGTCACCGACAGGAGTGGTTAGGTGACCCGCTTGCTTTGGGAGGGCTCCGGGAGGACACAGACTGGGAGGTGCCCGCTACTCGGTGTCCTGAAACCGCCCTCCACTCAGGGACTGGGCCTCCTACTGCTATGTCTTCAAGGTGGGGTACTGGCCTGCTCTCCAGCCCCTACGCCAGGGCCCCCGAATGGCGTCCACGCTGGTGGCCTGGCT